GATATGATAATCAAAACTATAAACTATAACGTATGTAATCGCGAACATCCTGCAAATGGATACGCAATTTAATAAGAAGAGAATCGAGTTTTTAAGGAATGATTATACTGACTTCAATTTTGAAAGCATATAACTTTTTCTAACCTTTTTTAAAAACGAATTTCGCTTCGCTTTTTGTGATCATGTGGTCACACTGCGGCAGCGACAGGCCATTGGAATATACCAGCGATGAGCAGAGAACAGATGAGAGCAGCGACAGCCGAGTGGAAATCTAGGAAAATTCTGTATATACAAATGCGGCATATTTTCTGATCAAGTCGCCGACTCCAATATCCAACCAACCTTTGGAGATGATAATATACTGGATGTTTTTCATTTGAAAACTTTGTACAATATTCTTAATAGACTGCATAGCTATGAAAAAATTTAGATTAAATAATCACTATTCCCACGTAAATTTACATTTATTTTTTGTCTTTCAACTGCTTTCAACGATAAAGCCACTGAACGCGCACTGCTAATTCCCCCCATTTGCTCCACACTTTGCCTAAATGGAAATAGCGCCTACCCAATTGGAGCAGCAGTTGTCAGCAACGAACGAACCGTTTGGGCAAAACTGCTTCAACCAACCAGCCGTAGCGCTCTAATGTAAGCAATTTATATGCAGAATGTATTTTGCACGTTACCAACATGAAAATGTTACACTATATTTGTCTCGCTTCGTAATGGAAGCAGCATGCTAGAAGTCAACGTTGAAGCGTCGACAGAGTCGTTGACGTTGCAAAGCAGCATTTGCTCTCATTCGCTCTTTTTTTCAATCACTCCCTCTTCCTGGCGTAGGACTCAATTTCAAGGATAGCCTCGTACATTTTTCTACATGACTTCAGCGATTTTCCAATGAAGCTGCATAAACGCTGCGCCTGCCGCAAGCACCGCTAAAACCAGCTAAAACTACTGCCGCGCCTGGCTTGAGCTCAGATAGTGGGGGAATTTTTCCATGGACTTTCGCCAAACTTACCACTTATCTTTTGTAGAAAAGCTGCATTTCATATTATAAGTCATACACAACCACAAATATTGTATTTTAAAAAAGACTTCTACCAATCATTGTCCGAAAATTTATGTCAAAAATCAAAAAAAAATTGATATCCGAAAATTTAAATTGCACTCACGGAACCGCTGCTTTTGCTGCGATGACGACTACGGCTATTGGCCCGAATGGTGATGTCGTCGATACTCGTTGTTACACACGTACGCACAGGTACTCAGCACTTGATTCCTTGCCTTTTTCCTTCGATTTTGCTCAAGTTTTTTGATTATGCTCGATTGTGATGTTCGTAAGCTTTCTTTTTCTTTTACACTATTCTCCAGCCGTTTTACTTGCTTTTTAATGGCACACTATATAATTCACTTATATGTATATATTTTTATATAATGTATTCGAAACTCCGTCAAAAAATTTGCTTTATTTTGTCATATTTAAAAAACCACACCTGACATTCAAAACTCAAATGCACTGGATGAAAAACTGTCGAATGTACGAAAAAACGAAACTACATCAAGACGAAAAATTCCGCATTGGAATAAGAAAAAACTTTTTCCCTTGCTCTTTCTTTTTTTCTCCTTGTCAATTTTTTCCATTTACCAATTACGGTTCTTCTCCGCTTCGTTTGCACGACGTTGAAGATCCACCTCTTGCCGTATTCCAAACGTTTTTAAAGCACAAGTACATAAATACTTTTTGATCACATCGATTAAAACCAATCTACCGATTTAATATAACGCAATTATTAAACGATATGCAGCGAATTTATATATTTTATGCAGAAAATTCAACGCCACACGCCGAGAAACCAAGAAACGACGACTCCTTTTTTCATCAATATGGCGCAGAGAATGCAGTACTGCCAACTTGACAAATGGCAACGTTGCCAACCGGTTGGCAGTTGTTTCACGACTTGCCAACACCGCATAAATATGTGAATAAAATGAATCGGTTCTTTTCGGTAACCTATTAGAGACAAAAATGCAGGCCCCAACCACCTAGGTTCCCTATTATTCCCTAGGGACCCCTTAGAAAAATTGCCAAAAATCACAATTTTCATTTGCCTATATTCGCTTGTTAAATGTAAAATTGTAATATGTTAAATATTCATTTGCACAATACATTTTTATAAACAAGACATTTTTATAAAACACCCAGTAACCAAAATAGACATCACAGGGGCGGCAGCCCCAGGTCTACCATGAACGAAAGACACAAGATCACGTAAGAACAAGAGAGTGAAAAAAGTCGATTTTTTTAGCGGGTTCTACGCCATCTTGTTTCAATGGAAAACGAGCGAAAAGTAAACAAAGCAAAGAAAACAACGAAAACCAAAATTAGCCAAAATTATTGTCAGCCACTTTAAACGCACAATTTAGGTAACATGATGCAACAAAATGCTTTAAAATGTGTTGTCATGTTGAATTGACTCTTCTTTACTTGAATAAAAGTGTAAAATAGTGGTGCTTGTTATGTAAACAAACGCTCAGCTGACGAACCCGCTTTCGCAAACTTTTTTCTCAAAACCAGTTACAAATACAACGTCGCGTTCTTACGTGATCTTGTATTTTTGGTTCATGAGGTCTACCACACAGAAAGGGAATTCTAGTTACCTCATCCTTTCCCAAGGTTACATCACTGGGGCGGTAGCCCCAGTTAGGCCACACAGAAAGGAGAATTCTACGTAGTAAGGGTTATAATCCCTAAGCGCGGCCGAAGGCCGCCTACGCATAAAGGAATTCTACGCAACAATACTGTGGACGCAAGTAAAAATTGCAATTTTTGGCCATTTTTCTATGGGGTCCGTAGGGAACCATATGGTGCCTAGGTGGTCGGGGGTTGCATTTTTGTCAATGGCAGTTCATGCCCTCTCCAAAAAGGTCGGTTGGAGGTGCCACGCGCACTCCCCCTTCGCCCACCGCACCTTTAACGAACGGCCATAATGGAAAGTTTCCCCGGCAAACACAGTGATTCGGTAGTTACACCGACATGACTCCTGGAATGACTATGAATGATTCAACTGTGTGTAGTCGAAGGCGAGTCAGCATGTACACAAATGACTTGCAACTCAGACGCACCTTCCACTTTATGCCCCTAAGACAGGACTAATGCCAGGTTCACATATAAGTAGATTATACTCATTTTCGAGCTTAACTCCCTAATTTGTAATTAGAAAAAGAGATTAGCCATATAAAATTCGTCCCTGGTTAATCTGTAATTATAAAATAATCTCAGATTTAACCGATAACTTTTCGGTGTCCATCCCAGTATTATCGATTATTTTTGCGAATAAGAGCAGAAATGGCAAATGTAAAAGTAAACAAAAATGGACGCTAGCAAGGAAAAGAGGTTTGTAAAGGTATTTTTAATAAAATGTTAAGTTAAAATATATTTATATTGCTAGAGATTAGCACAGAGAAGAAGCATAACTTTTCCTAGAGATGTGAGAATAACAAGCTCAAAAAATGTTACGGCTAATAATCTGAGATTTACCTGTGTAAACGGGGTGATATAAAATCGAGCTTTGATTGAGATAATATTTATATGTGAACATACTTTTACGTTAGATCAGCTGATTTCTTTGCCCTACATGTATTTTGTTTTTGCTTCAACACTCATCTAAAGCAAAAACAAAATACATGTAAACTTTGCAAGAGACTGTATTGTTGGATTGGAGTTTACTCTGTTTTTACCAATTATTTTTTTAACTAACACACGGCAACTCTACTGCATTTATGGCTAACACCCTTCTCTTTCGTTGATGTACATTAAAAAAATCAAAATATGTAAATATACTTTATTCTTTTAAATAACTAAAATTGTTAGAAAATAGTCAAATTATTTGTTTATACTACAAATTTCATTAAAAAGACCAATTTTGCCTTGTATTAAAAGTAAAGCTTGAATTTCTTGAGAATAAAGATCTCTTCATTATTTTTTATTTTAATGTATTTTAGACAGTAAAAATAAAACAAAAAAAGCATTAAATGAAAAATGTATAAGTATTTTAGTTTAAAGATTTGCGGTGTCCATATTAAAATTATTTATAATAAATATTTAAATGTTTATGATGAAAATTATTTTGGCAAAAACTTACTTTGACACTATTTGCAGTCAAACAACTATCAAAATTAGGGTTAACATAGGATAATAAGCTAATTTCGTTTTATTTGACCAAGATTTAGCTATTTGCTTGTGTGCCTAATGTAAATATGTGCAAAGGTGCTTGCTTGCTTTTTCGTTTAATTAATTAATTGGAAATGGGAATTACAGTTACAAGGAATGGAATATTATAGGTTCATTCCTTATCTTTTTGGACTAAAATCTGAAAAGTGTCAAAATGCCAGAGCGTAAGCAAAATGCGCTCACTAAAAAAGAATAACAGGAAAAGTAAAGGAACGCAAAAAACCAAATTTTTAGTCCAAAGAATGGCAACAACAAAACTAACGTCAAATAAAAACAGAAATGTATGTACAAAACACATTCACACAAGCACAAGCACAATAAACACTTGCTATATCAATTATTTTTTGCCTCCTTCCAATTTCAATTCATTTCTTTTACTTTTTAGATTATTCTCACTTTTAGCGTATTCTTTAATTTCCGTTAATTTAAATTCAGTTGAGTTTGACACTTTTCAGGATTTTGCCAGAAAAAATTCTTCTGACTAAATCTGACTACTTCGGACTGATGAGAGTCACTCTCACTGACTGTTGCTCTCTCATTTTTTCTGTCATTTCCGAGTTAAGGAACGCTTTTTGGACTAAATCTGACTACTTCGGACTTTTTCTGACTATTTCTGGGAGATAAGGAACGCTCCTTATATGGGACCAAATGCAACAGGGTGAAACCAGTGTTTATCACCCTATACTTCCGGTAGTGCTATCCAGTGACGTCCGGTAGTGCATTCCAGTGGAAGTTTTGTGATCTATCCCTGTTCTGACATTCATTCTTGTTTTTGTTTTGCACCATCATTCGCGCCGGGTTGTCAGTGGATTTCTTATATATATCAACATCATTTGCGATATATATAATTTGTTTTCTGTTAGCCGTATTTTGCAATTTTAAAATACATAGCTGGGTGGTACGAATATGCAAAAGTACTTCTGGCCGGTACTGCTGCCCATTCTTTTTCTGGCATACTCGCTGCCGCTGTTCCTGCGCGTCTACGCCACTGCTCCGAACGTAATCGATGAGGAATTCCACCTGCGTCAGGGATTGCATTTTTGCAATAAGCGTTTTGATGTAGTACGTTATATTGAATTACATACTTCTATACATGTGTTATTAAACTTGCCTGCCATTATATTTGTAGTGGGATCCAAAAATTACCACATTCCCCGGTCTCTACCTTTTCTCGCTGATTCTGATACCATTGAACGCTTGTACGGAATTGGGCTTGCGATGCATATCGCTAGCAGCCGCAACAGTAAATGTTGTGACGCTATATAAAATACGTCGCCGCTTACTTGGCAGTGCGCACGGGCAGCTCGCTGCGCTGGATGCCATCACTTTGGGTACTTTGCCGCCGCTGTATTTCTTCAGTCATCTATACTATACCGACACACTATCGCTAACAACGGTGCTCTTATTCTACTATTATTGGCACAAGGAGTCGCATTTACAGGCGGCAGTCTTTGGTAAAAGCTACGCACTGTTCCTTATTATAAGTATTGCTTTATGTCGTCCTACTTACAGGTGCGACTAGTGTGCTGGTGCGTCAGACCAATGTGGTCTGGGTGGCTATGTGCTTTGCTATAATGGCACTGGATGTGATGAGCGGCAACTATGCGCGTGTCAAAGGTATTAAAAAGCAGCAGGTAGAGCTGCTTAATCCAAAGGTTTGTGTATTTTCCATACTGAGACTTTGATTATAAATTGTACGGTGAAGTTTAGGTGCTTTGGGACATGCTCACCTCATACAGACTGCTAGGGCGCAGCATTTGGCAAATTTTGCGTAAAGGCTGTTACTACCTCATCATTATACTGCCGTTTGTGTTCTTCGTGTTTCTCAATGGCTCCATTGTCATAGGCGATAAACGCGCACATGAAGCCACCATGCATTTACCGCAGGTTTGTTAGACAGGCCAAATCTTTTAATATTTAACTATTTTTTTCTTTATTCATAGATATTCTACTTCAGTCTCTTTGCGGCGTTCTTCGGCGTCTCCAATACAATGCATGAGTGGCAGTCCACCCTGCGTTGGTTGTCGCGCGAAAAATTAATTGTGCTTTTCTTGCTCGGCGTTGGAGTACTCACGGTCAAATGGAATACGCTCGTCCATCCATATTTGTTAGCCGACAATCGTCATTACACCTTTTATATATGGAATCGTTTCTACGGCCGCTATTTGTGGTTCAAGTATGCTATGGTTCCTGTTTATGTATTTGCTTTGGCGCTGCTACACTGTGGCCTGCGGCATATGCGCACCAGCTTTAAATTGATGTTTTGGATTGCAACGCTGCTGGTTTTGTGCTTCCAGCGTTTGCTGGAACCACGTTACTTTATCATTCCTTTCGTCTTGTACCGCTTGCACACACAGCCGCTTGCTAAAAGTCGTTGGGCAGAGTGGCTGGAGCTGGCCAGCTATGTGGGGATCAATGCGCTCACATTTTTTATATTTTTTACCAAAGAAATCACTTGGATGGACTTCAAGGAACCACAGCGCATTATTTGGTAGAGATTAGAGCAACTTAGAAGTTAAATGCGTTAAGAGGGCGAGGCCCCAAATATAAAGGCTATTTAGAAACAGCATTGTATTTTTATTTAATTAAACAAAGTGCTGCTTGAAGTCGCAAAACACTTGCAAGCTAAGCGCCCAGGAAAAAATACAAAACTTCTCGATTTACTTAAATAAAAGACAACATAATATTCGAGGAAATTTAACCTGGAATATTTTATTTTAACGGCTTTGAATGTGGGTTAATATATATGTATATTTATATTTGAACTTGTTGCTAAGCAATAATACCACTAATATTTATTTTTCAAGTAAGTATACATTAATATATATTAGTTTGAAACATGCATATTTCAAGTATACATTGATAAATATTAGTTTCAAACATTCATAGTGAAATAATATGCAAGTACTGCATACGCCAAACTTGGTAATACATTATAGTCGCGCCACAACAACGCTCCTATGAATTGGTAAAATATAAGTCATAAGCTTAAAAACTAAAAATAACAAATTCGCCGTGCAAAACAATCATTAACTATTTCGAAGAAGGAAAAACCCGTCGTACCGTATTTCCTCAACACCTTTTCAACTCACTTTACCACCAATATCTTTAGTAAAATTATAGCTCATTCACTTATGTGCCCACCTGACCACCATTTTCTCTCTGCAAACACTCATTCCTCCTCGCATTTTACCGTAACACCGCTTAATAGGGAATCTGATTCTGATAATACTGTATCATATCGTAGGTGCGCGTGCGGAAGTTCTGATACGAGTTTCTTATAACCGCTAGCATATGCGCCTCAGCTTCCTTATTATTCTTAGTTGCGACAAAGCGCTGCTTCAACAAGTTAATGGTTTGGCCACGGAAGCACGGCAACCCGGTGTCAAGCATAAGTGAGACCAGCGAGACGATGGCATCCTGATAGGGCCGCACTGCGAGAAAAGCTTGTACACACAATTCACAGAACCACTTGAAGGCAGGTGCTTCCATTTTTCCGCCCATAATCATAACCATTTCGTCGGTGAGCTTCATATCGGGCTCGAAGCCGATGTTTCCACCGGGCGAAGATTCAAACATAAAACCGAAATCTGCAGCGTAAGGAAGTTGAAAAACCTCAAATCAAGTACCTAAAAACTAACTCACCAATGTGTATGACATGCCCATCTTTGTCGATCATTATATTGCCGTTATGCCTGTCCTTGATCTGCAGCAAGTAACCGACCAAGGAGTATGCCGCCATGGACTTGACAAAGTTTGCGCGCGCCGCCTGGAATTCTCTGGAACTCTCATCGCCGTATTGATGCAGAAAATACTCGTAGAGCCCGGAGTCAGTTTGGCGACCTAGCTGATCGCGCGACTTTGCATTTGGCACGCACTCAATGACGCCGCACTAAAAGTAAGTGCAAATCAAAAAATATTCCTTTCAGAGCGCTACTCAGCTGCCGCAAATACTTACGCCCGGTGCTGTGGCTACCACGCGGTATGGAAAGAGGAAAAGCTCTAAGCCTACTTGCTGGAATATATTCTTAAATATTGTTATGACCTGCAGCGCCAGTATATCCTGCCGCACATCGTCGCCCACTTTGAAAATGGCAGCTTGCCATGACTCAACACCTAGCGTCATCTTGGCGTCTTCTTGCGAGTTCTGGCCAGAGGCAAAAATGTTTGTTATTTATAAAGATTTAGCATAGTATGATGTAAATACTTGCCGGATTATTAGACACTTCCATGGCGCGCGTTTCAAGCTCGGTTATGCCGCAGCGATAAACGCGGAACCGCGCCAAGTATGGCGCCTTTGCAGCGCTCTGCATCGGCGTGCCGCTGTTGTAGTCGATGTCTAGTACCATTGCCTCTGGATTAGAGGGTAGATAGCAGCCAGGTTGAACTTGTATGCGCTTCAATGCCGTCAAACAGGCATTCTTCCGCTCGATGCCTTTCGGGAAGGAGCGTATTTCGCCTGAAACAGCCGTAATCTTGCCAAAGAAATCGAATTCGCGCTCATAGAAGCGCTTAGCGGCACCCGAGAAAGAGGATATAATATTCTGTGACAACGCTTCCAAACAGTCATACAAATTCGGATCTTTATGCTGTTGATCTTCGTCCATAAACATGTTCGTTTGCATATTCCAAATGAGTTGATGCGCCACAATTTGCGATCGCTTCGAAATATTTTTGATGAATTCAGCAACATAGCCCATAGTGTCGTGGCGCAAGGCCTGCACCAATTGCGGAATGTATGGCAATACGGACTCGGCTTGGTAGGAGCTCAGCGTCTTGACGGCGTACTGCGCGGTCAGCGGATGCGATGGATATTGCCTCGAGAAGTAAGAGAGCGCTTGTATTGGATTCACAGGCGCCCAGGAGAGTATGTATACTAGGTCGGGGCTTTCGTGCAGCAAATTTTTCGTGTTGCATAGATACTTGAGTGCCTCTGGTATGTGGCTGACAGCAATGGGGTCAGCGCAAACCAAACGCGAGATTTCCTCTTCAATCGAGTCGGCGCTTTTGATGCGCAGCGGCAGAAAAACGGCCAACGCTGGATTGTAGGCCCAGGCCAGACGGGCGTAGTCGCGCCATAAGTTGGGTTTGGAGGGACGCGCTCGCCACTCATTCACCTGCTCTTCGCCTGTACGGGGAGTTCAGAAGAAGAAAAAATTTTTTCAAGTCAATGGTTGTCGACTACACTCCAAATCCACTTACCGGGTATTGCCAAATCAGGCAGACTATTTGGATTGTACCATGTGATGAGGAATTCCAGCTCCACAGCCAACAATTCCAAAATCAAATTGCGTTTCTTCATGTAGTCCTTGTCGTAAGAGTCCTTTTGATAAGGTAGTCGTTTCGAGCGATTCGATCGCTTCGATAGCGTCGATGTGGAATGCGGTATTGTGTTGTACCAGCCGCCAGTGCCACCGGTCGACATCGAACGCGCCACATCGCCAGCACTGATGAGCGAAGCCGTCTCCGCATTCTGTCTCACCGAGAGCATTTGTGTCGAAGCTACCGCCGTAATATCGTATTCGCCCATCTCCGAGGTGACTAAATGTTTCTTCTCGCTGCGCATCGTCTGCCAGAATTTCAACAGTATCAAAATGTCATCCAGCAATTGTTCCTTGCTCTGATTTGGGCATGTGGGCGGTCCACAAAAGTAGTCCAATGCATTGCTATAGATACGTTCGCGCAGTATATTACGCGCCAGAGAACGCGGTATTGTATTGCCTTGGAGTAGCGAGAGGCCGCATTGCAGTAGCTTGAAGCGACATCCGACTGTCGACACTTGGCGATTCTGTTTCAAATTCTTAGAGATGGGCAGACAGCGATGCAGCAGCAGACAAAACATTTCCACCTTGTCGCGATTACAATACTTAGCGGTATCCACCATTTCGGAGAGCAGTTGTAGCCAGATGATATGTGGCGCAATTTGTATGGGCTTGGAGACCAGCTTGCAGCCCTCGTAGGCGGCAAGTGGTATGGTGGTCTCCACCTCGTCCGAGAAGAGACCCAACTTCTTTTCAAAGGTCGTCTGCCAGGCGCTAACCATTTCCTGGATGAAGCAGAGTTCAAGATCTTGACGCGCTGTCAACACCCACTGCCAGCATTCCACGGCCGTTTCTACGGCATATTCCGTAAAGAGTTCCACTTGAGAGGTGGCTGAGAAAAAAAAGGGTTGTCGGGGGTAGAGAATGAGAAACAAATATTAGAAAAAATCAAGGTCAAAAACGTTTTGAGAAAGTCTTTGTAACTATAATTAGTCTTATAGAAATTTAATGCAAACTAATTATTTATGTTGTTGTTTTTGTTGTTTTAGCAGCATACAAGTTCGTTAAAGAGTTTTTGCCGAGTGTTGCTGGAGTGACAGTCCTTGGCCAAATATAAATCTGGGTGGTTCCGGTTACGTTACAAAAATTATTTATAAACATATTTGCTCTAAATGCTATAGTTATGTTTTATCCAGACAATGAATAGTTTTGAAGCTCATATAATATTTCTTTTCTATTACAACATTTAGTTCATTCCATAAATTTTTATTTCATACATCAACTTTTTTGACTCACCCACTGCATGCAACAGCTTTCGATTCACATCCGAGCATATGATCAAGTAGGCAGTGGCACGCCACAACGCGCCGCGATGACGCGCATCACTCTTATCTGCGCAGGCATCCCAAACATCCTTTACCAACCGATCGGCCAAGCCGGCCTTATCCTCCTCACTCAGCACCGACAGCAGCCCAGAGATTTCGCCTGCATATTTGCTACGCAAACACAACACTGACACGAAACGTGGTGTGTTGCTGTTCACACAGTTCGGACGCTTGCTGATCGAAGGCAAAGCATTCGGATAAAGACTATTACTGCTCACGACCGAATCAAAGGCTAAAGCCAAGCCGCTGTGGTGTGCCAGCACCGGTGTTGGTATCTGATTTGGGTATTCTTGAAGGTGAGAACGTGTAGAACGCGGCGCCCATTTCATGGCTTCGTTTACAATGCCCTGGCAACGATCAGCAAAGTCCTTGACTCGACTTTCGCGTGCTGGCAATGAATCCATGAGCTGAAGCGTGTAAGGTGTAGAAACAACACGCAGTGTGGGCGTCTCTTCGTTCGGATCGAGCGTTAGCGAGAATGCAAGCAGTTGGAGAATATCCAACATGCACCAGAGTACGCGGCGATTCCACAATAAATGTGGAAATTTATCGACTAACTGTGATAGATACTGATCGGCGACCAGCTGGATTTGCTTGTGTATGTGATTGAAATAGACAAGCAGCAGCATTGCCTGTGATTCTAGCACCTTTTCGCGTATTTCGTCTTGGGCGAAGAGCACATTGCGGAACTTCTCGAATACCTGATCGGCAACGCTGCAAGAGGAAAGAGTTTTAATGTAGCGTTTAATTTTATTGCGTGCATAACTGGTTCGCCACTCACCACTTCACGCACTGCCAGATACCAGATTTGTCCTTTTGAAGCGCATTATCGCATAGATAACTTAATATCGGCTCCAAGCTGGGCTCTTCTGAATTCTCCACGCGCAACGTTTCTAGCCAGTACACACTCAAGAGATAGGTGCATTGCGCGAATGTCAGTTTGTTGATCGACGCAGTCACATCGGCTGGGGGATGCTCCAGCAATAACAGTATCTGACTACGCAACTCATTCAAACTCACCGAATCACTCTTGATCGCCGATGTGTAGTTCAATTCGCGCATGTCGGACTTGTGTGTCGTCTGCGAGATGAGTAAGGGTGATTTGGCTGCAATCTGTTGCACTCCTTGATACCAATCGGCTGGCCAGAGGCGAGCATTTGTAAAGCCCATGACCACACAATACACCCAGAAATCCTTGAATAGTTTATGCAAGCGCATACGTGGATTCTTGATCGGCGGTAGGCGACGCACCAACACCGCAATCACCGGTATTAACATACCCAAATTGCCGGCGCTGGAGCTGGCCTTCTGCGCGCCCGGTGCATTGTTGTCATAGGAGCGCTCCCCCTCCAGACCGATCTGCACAAAGAGTTCGAGCAGTTTGCCCAATAATTCGAGCATTTCCGAGTCACCCTGTATATTGGCCGCAATATTACCCAAAGCATTGACCACTGCATCCGACACGTTATTGAATTGCTTACGATGTTCCTGATCCGATGTGTAGGCCAGAGAAGCCGACTGAACGGTGACGCGCGAAAACATTTTCATAATCTCTTCGAAAACATGAGGCTCACACTGCGAGATGATCATGCAGCCGAGTTGATCAACGATAAGCGCATTCTGCTCGGAAGGCACCTTGCAAAAACGTTGAATGAAGAACTGCAAGATGTTTTGTGTGGTCTTCGATGTGTCCTTGAGTGTGACGGCGACGTGACCAAGCATTACTATAATATTGAGACTCACCAATGTCGATTCGCTAAGTCATGGGATAATAAAAGGGATAGTTAAGGAATGAAAGCTAATTTAGAATCAAACTTGTTTGGTTTTTGGCATACTTAGTCAAGCTATCTACTTACGATTCGTGCTTCTCTGCCGTGAAGAGTCGATTCGAAAGATTGGCCACCAAAGCTGGCACACAATACTGATCCAAGGTGTGCGCAGAACGTAATGCAATGCTCAAATTTTCAATGGCTGCGTCGCGCAATGCCTCGAAGGCCGCCTGCCCCGAGCGCATGCCCGCATGCTTCTGATTCTCACCATAAATATCAACCGTCGAACGTGATTCGCTATTTTGTACGACGATCTTGAATGGCGCCAGCTTTTCCTTCTCCTTCTTCTGAAGTGCGAGCGTCTGTTGGGAATAAGCATGCAATTTCGCCAATATTGGACTGGGATCGACTAAAAAGTCACGCAAGTACGATATCGACGTGCCAGCGATGTTGGGAAACTTTTGCGCCAGTTTGCCGAGTCCCTCGAGACAAACCATCAGTAACGGCATGTGGTCCAACACAATTTTGTGACTCAGTACTGAGTTAAGCTTTTGCGAAAGTCGACCGCATAACTTGTCGGCCTCTAAAAAGGAAATTTAATACTGTCAATATATTGATGGAAGGCAATATGGAACCGCAAAAGGGAGTAAATAAGAAAAGGAAGTACATATAGTTAACGCTATAAACTGCATTCAAAAAACAACAACGTGTATTGGACAGACAATGGAATAAGATGAGGCTATCTCTTGATCACTACAGCACTGTCGTGATAATGAATGGAACGATAATATGCATGTCCAAATTAGTACTCGCATGATTTTATTTTTTTTATTTTTTCAGTATGAACGTTTTAGCATGCGCAGAACCGCACAAAAAATCGGTTCGAAACAAAACAAAAAATCTTAAAAAATTAACAACCTTTTCTTAATAAAATTTTTAAACCCAACTGCAATGAAGGTACATTGTACTCATCATCAACTGAAAATATAATGAATAATTCAAATTAAATAAAATATTACAAAATAAGTACCCAAAGTATGTAGAATGTAATTACACCAAATTATTGATATGTTGTTTTTTTT